TAAAAAAAAAAAAAAAAGTAGTATGGGCCCAAAGTGTTGTGCAAACAAAGTGGTAAAGGGGGTTTAGATGAGAGTAATTATTATTCTTCCACAATGATGGGCAAAAATAACCACTATAAGCTACAGCCAGAAAACATTAAGAAGTTCACCTTGACTAAAATTAAGCACAGCTACTGTGAAGGATAGATTTGGAAAATTTGGTTGGAGTGCTAAGTTGGAGACAAAAAGCTTCATCTGGCAATAAAATATGAAACAGAGGTATTCATTCACCAAATATTTATTGGGCACCTAGCATAGAGCAGGCTTCATGGTCCACAAAGTTCTAGAATTACGTGAGGCTAGAATGAGGGTGATAAGAGCTTAGAGTTGTGGGCGCAAGCCCTGCATTGGGCTCTGTGCTGGGTGTGAAGTCTACTTATAAATATAAATAAATAAATAAATAAATAAGTCATGACTTTGAGAGCATGTTGATTTTGAGTAACATTAGGCACACTTCTACTTTCTTAACAGTAGTTCAGGCAGACTGTAGAATATACTTACATTGCTTGACAAGTGTTTGGAAACTAATTTGTAAGCATCTATAAAATCGTTGTCTATACCTAGTAACTGGTACCATATACAAAGTTGAGTTGTCAAACAATAGATTTTTTTTTTTAAGTTTATTTATTTTTGACAGAGAGAGAGAGAGAGTGCGAGCGTGAGCTAGGGAGGGGCAGAGAAAGAGGGAGACAGAATCGAAGCAGGCTCCAGTCTCTGAGCTGTCAGCACAGAGCCTGTCGCGAGGCTCAAACTCGCGCTATGAGATAATGACCTGGGCTGAAGTCAGATGCTTAACCGACTGAGCCACCCAGGGGCCCCAACAATAGCTTATTTTAAAGAATATTCTTAAGAATAAAGTTTGATGTATTGGCAATAGCACTCTCATCTGTAGAAAATCTGAACTAGTTAGACCTTTAGAAACTGTGCTAAAAAGGGGCGCCTGGGTGGCGCAGTCGGTTAAGCGTCCGACTTCAGCCAGGTCACGATCTTGCGGTCCGTGAGTTCGAGCCCCGCGTCAGGCTCTGGGCTGATGGCTCAGAGCCTGGAGCCTGTTTCCGATTCTGTGTCTCCCTCTCTCTCTGCCCCTCCCCCGTTCATGCTCTGTCTCTCTCTGTCCCAAAAATAAATAAACGTTGAAAAAAAAAAATTAAAAAAAAAAAAAAAAGAAACTGTGCTAAAAAAAAAAAGTAGCAATTTATTTTATCATCATCCAGGAAAGTCACCTCAAAGGAGGCTATTTAGGGAGCCACTGGGCATTTGATAAAATTAATTTCATGTTATGTAGGTTCACATCTTTTAATCTTAACACTCACAATTGCTCGTTGTAAATCTGAAATCTAGGTAACTAACAATGGTATTTAGTAATGGATATGAAGTTTGATATGGAGCCAGATATCTGGCATCATATGTGAAGAACTGTGATTGTTAAAAGGTAGATTTGTCCAAAATTCTTAAAGACTTTGCAAGTATTCCTTTAAAAAATTTCCCTGTGAGTTAAAGTAATACTATATAGCAAAGAGATTTATTATTGCTTGCACATAAGTTATTATTATGGCATTTGCCCTAGGAAAAGGATGTAATTAGTTTGGCAGATTTACTGTAAACAAAGAATCAAATAGAACTCATGTCTACAGCTACCAAAAAGCTTCCATGAAGATACTGAATACTTACATTACATAAAATTCCATTATATTTGTATTATATAAAATTCCATTAGTTTGTGGTGTTAACAGGTGTCTTCATTTTGTTTTAGTGTTTCACTTCAAGAGTGAATTGTAGATTCTCTTCACCTGTTAGACTAATCTTGCTATTTTGTTCTATGGATTCTTTTCAGTTTTAAATTGATGGAAAAATTGTCAGAGTGTCAATACACTGTTTCGGAAACAGTGTGGTCACACAAATGACAGAGCATGGGCTTTGGGCTCAGGAATAATTCTCCTCAAATCTTGGCTTCCTCATTTACTAGTTATGTAACATTAGACAAGTTATTTCACCTGGGCCTCAGTTCCCTTATCTGTAAAATGAGAACAGTTATACTAACTTTCCTTACCCCTCACCCTCCCTCTGGGGCTTCTCTAATTCTTAGGAGAGTGGTTTGCTTAATACATGTTTCTGACGGTCATTTGTAACTTCACAATATAGTAATTTGATTTCATGCTTACATGTGAATTATGGAAAAGGGAATACCATAACATTTCCTTGCTTCCTTTTCTTAGTCAATCCGTCTTTTGCTCTAAACTTAAAATCTCTTCACTTCAAGGAGAATCCAGCATCAGTTCATAGCACTAATCTTTTCTTCCTAGGCTATTACGAAAATTAAACTGATTTACTTTTTATGTCTATCTCATGCACAGAAACTTAATGAAAGCAGTAGCTCCTCTGAAGGCAGCACTGTAGACATTGGCGCACCTGCAGAAGAACAGCCTGTAGTGGAACCTGAGGAAACCCTTGAACCTGAAGCCTGTTTCACTGAAGGTAAAGAAAATGACCCTCATGTTAATCTTCCATTTATAGAATGTGGGGTGTTTTTTTTAGCTGTGATCACCCAAGATGGATCATTCATAATATAATAGAACTTTAGTAGATCTATTTGAATTACCACTAATAGGCTAACAGTTTTCAAATCTATTGTTATTTTTGGTTATCTCTGCCCACTATGTGTAAAAGAGCATGACAATAGAGAAAAATATTTTATTTTTTTATTTTATTTTTTTTTTTAGTGATTGCAGTTGACAAATTTTATTGCTACCTTTTTTTTTTAATATATGGAATTTATTGTCAAATTGGTTTCCATACAACACCCAGTGCTCATCCCAAAAGGTGCCCTCCTCAATACCCATCACCCACCCTCTCCTCCCTCCCACCCCCCATCAACCCTCAGTTTGTTCTCAGTTTTTAACAGTCTCTCATGCTTTGGCTCTCTCCCACTCTAGCCTCTTTTTTTTGTTTGTTTTTTTTTCCTTCCCCTCCCCCATGGGTTCCTGTCAAGTTTCTCAGGATCCACATAAGAGTGAAACCATATGGTATGTGTCTTAGAGAAAAATATTTTAATGTGATAAAAACAAATGACTGATTTATATTTTTAAAAGTAAAATGGTGATTTCACAATAAGTGGGCTTCTTTTTTATTTTTATTTCTAGAGAGAGGGGCATAGAGGGAGAGGGAGAGAGAGAATCTTAAGCAGGCTCCACACCCAGTGTGGAGCCTGTCGCGGGGCTTGATCCCATGACTGTGAGATCATGACCTGAGCCAAAATCAAGGGTGAGACGCTCAACCGACTAAGCCACCCAGGTGCCCCACAATAAGTTGGCACCTTAAATACTAGTCAAAATTCTCATACACAGAATTTGCCTTAAAATAGCTTTCTGGGGGTGCCTGGATGGCTCAGTTGGTTACGCTCCTGACTTTGGCTCAGGCCATGACCTCAGGATTCCTGAGTTCCAGCCCCGCATCGGGCTCTGTGCTGATAGCTCAGCGCCTAGAGCCCACTTCAGATTCTTCAGTGTCTCCCTCTCTCTCTGCCCCTCCCTCACTCTCACACTTTGTCTCTCTGTCTCTTTCTCAGAAATAAAAACATTAAAAAAAATTTTTTTAAATAGCTTTCTGACAAAGTTCAATGAGCTGCAAATGCTAAACTGTATTTTTTAACAAAATCACCATTTTCCAATGCTCATTGGATGAAGCAGGAAATAAGCAGTACCCCATACCTGATACCTGAACAGTTAAGCTGGTTGAGCCTGGTACAATATGGACAATAGGTTTAAGAGCTTTGTCTTCCCCGTGACTAGTATTTCCCATGGTCTGATTTTCTTGGGAATTTGAGTTTTAAAGATATGAATATAGTGCTCACTTCGGCAGCACATATACTAAAGATATGAATATATTTGCATATTCTCTATATAGTGATCTCTTCCTCATAGGCCTGATATACATTGTTTCCTTGTATTTCCTATATAAATTCCACATGTCACCCAAAGTCCTTCTCAAAACTACCTTCATCTGACCATGGTGTAAAAGAGATTATTATTCCTCTGAACAGCTATAATAAATATATGCATTTAATTCACCTGATGATTGTTCATATATTATCTTGTGAGAGCTTTCCTCTTTCTGTTTTGAACTGTTATATGTATCTTTACTGTCTTTTCTCCTCCCTGCCTTTCTTCCTCCCCTATCTCCCCCTTCTTCCAGCATACTTGACTTTTTCTTTTTAATTTTTTGTTTTTTTGTCTTGAGGTAGGGTTCCTGTGTTTATAGCTTTTCTTGAAAACAAGAATGTAAGGTTCTTGGTGGCAAGGTCCATGTTCTGTATCTTTTGTTTCTTTTTATCTTTTTTTTTTTAAAAGTGACTTTTTCTTTCATGATGCTTACAAAGGCATTCGCAGATATCTGTTGATTTAATTCTTACTTTTGAGTAAGTAAAGCAGTATAAAGAAGGAAATGACAAATCAAAGCAGAACCAAGCAACCGCATTTTAGTGGACTAAATTAAGTTGAAAATTATGTGAGTTCTTTTAGGAGCACCACAAGAAAACTAAACAGTAACAAACATTGTCGGGAGAGATCTACATTACTATTCCATAACCTCCTTAAAAAGGAAGTTTTCTGGGGTGCCTGGGTGGCTCTGTTGATTAAGCATCAGGCTCTTGACTTCGGCTCAGGTCATGATCTCTCAGTTCATGGGTTAGAGCCCCATGTCACTCTGAGCTGAAAGCACAGAGCCTGCTTGGGATTTTCTCTTTCCCTCTCTCTCTGCCCCTTCCCAGCTTGCATGCTCTGACTCTCTCTCAAAATAAATAAACTTTAAAAAATATAAATAGAATAAATAAAAACGAAGTTTTCTCTTTATTATTAATTTCTACTTTGAAGTCCTTTACTAGAGTGACTACATTTGTGCTTTACAAAGTTCTCTCTTGGACAATGAGTAGAAGCAGAAAAAGCAGGTATTATTAGCCAGGGAACCATTTAAAGAGGCTGAATAATTTTCACAATGTCAAAGAGCACAGCTAACAAATGTGCTCTTATTACTCCAGGCTTAGAGAATTATCCTAACAAGGTGGAGATGGTAACTGTAGTGAAAAGAGGAATCAGGGACATGCCAAAGAATATTATTGGAGCAGAAGTTACTTTAGCGACTCCTGTTTGAATATTATGCTTGCAGGCTGCGTACAAAGATTCAAATGTTGTCAAATCAGTGTGGAGGAAGGCAGAGGAAAACAATGGTGGAACCTGAGAAGAACGTGTTTCCGAATAGTGGAGCATAACTGGTTTGAGACCTTCATTGTTTTCATGATTCTCCTTAGCAGTGGTGCTCTGGTGAGTGAACATTAAGCAAAAGTGGTACAATATTAAGTTTAAAATAATCTCATACTGATGACTTACTAATCTTTCTATTACACTGTTTTACTATCCAATGCATTTTTTCCGAAACCCTCATTCTACATCCAATTTCATTTTCATGGCGTCAGCCATCACCTGTTTGGCAAACCTTAAACTGTTATCTCTACTTATGACTTCTTCCTTAAATACACATACATCTCAATATCCATCCAACCATCCATTCACTCACCCACTCATACCCACACACCCCCCTCTTCTACCTGTCTTCAACACATTTTTAATTACCCCCACATCATATCTTCCAGATTTTAGACTTAATGTTTCAACTATTTATTTCTGGATTTATTTTTCTATGTATATGTATAATTTCTGATAAGCTATTTATTAATTTTTTCTTATTCTTAAGTAGCCTAGAAAATTTGTCCCTCCAGCTTATTCAGTATAACCAAGGAATATAAATGTTCAATTACTCATATTTTAATAAGAAAGTAAACATGGCAACTTCAGTGTAGTTAAAGGAAGCCCTGTGATGGTATAACTTCTAAATTCTTACGAACCTTGTTTCTGAATGGTATTCTTATTATTTCTTTATGGACAGTCATTAAGTCCTTAGGGACTACTTCTCTGTCCCTTTTAAATTGTGTCCACTGTTCTTACACTACTCAAGAAACAATGAATGTTGGTAACAAAAAATATTGGGCAGCATGCCTAAGATTTGTTTCTCTGTATACGAAGATGTTTTTTATATCGAATTAATTTATATTGGTATGAAAATCACTTCTCTGATGATGTAAACTTATTTTGCATGTCACTTTAGACAAGAAATAGTCTTTTGCCCCTGAAATGAATGTGAGACTCAGGTGTAAAGTATAAAGAGTTCATATTAGAAGGACACATATTGCAACATAAATGGGAAATATTTTCATCTTGTTATCATGGTCATGCTACATCTCTGCTAAGAAACATAAACTATCAACAAAATGTAGGGGAGGGCGACAAATGAGCCCAACTACGTAGTAAAATTGGGCTATGTGATGATTGATTACAGTTTCTGCTTTATGAAAAATATAAGCCTTCACTTTTTATTTCTTCAACCTTTTAATGGCAAAAAAATCAACTGGAGGAAGCATAAGAAATGAAACAAAAGAAATATGTAACTTCAAGTTGGGGTGGCACCATCACCATCCCCAGGATATAACATCAGATGTTTCCTGAACAAGTCAAATTAATTCATGAGAATTATGCTTTTACCTCTTTCTTCTGGCTATAATATTGATGGAGAGTATAACTTTCCCCTGATTCATTAAAAGATCTTTGAGAGGGAGAAAAAAAAAAACAAAAAAAAAACAGCAATAGCCACTATTCCTCTGCCCTCCTAGTCCAACAGAATGTCATATGTATACATATAAAATCAGGGAAAATATATTTATGATCAGAAAAATAGCTCATAGAGTATACTAGTTTTAGAAAGCTAAAATATATCACTTTTCTTTATAGGCATTTGAAGACATATATATTGATCAGCGAAAGACAATTAAGACGATGTTGGAATATGCTGACAAGGTTTTCACTTATATTTTCATTCTGGAAATGCTTCTAAAATGGGTGGCATATGGCTATCAAACATATTTCACGAATGCCTGGTGTTGGCTGGACTTCTTAATTGTTGATGTAGGTATCCTCCACATCTTTGTCTCACTTCCATGGTAGTTTGTCTAATCCGTATACTGATTCTAAAACAGTCAATCTCTGACCACTGTGCTGAGTTGACAGCATATGCTACTTAATAGACAGTAAACTAATTCACCGAATCATAGTGTTGTAGTTTTTAGAAGAAATAGGCTAGTTTGTATTGGTTCAGCCTTGGGGGGGAGGGGCGGGGGGGCGGGGGTGGTAAGGAATTATGGTGGCTTTTGCGTATGTTGTTTAAATTCCTTATATTGTGAGTCAGATAGACTTGCATTTGAGTTCCAGCCCCATCGCTGATGGGTTGTGTGCCACTGAGTAAATTACTTGGCTCCTGACTCTAAAATGGTGATATTAGTACATACAGTAATAAAGGCACTCAATAAACACTGATGATGGTGAGAGCTACCGTCACTTTTTAAAAAATTCTCTTTGATCTACGCAAAGTTTTTAAAGGGTAGATTGTATAGATGATACTCTGTTAGAGGCAGTAAAGTGTACAGACTGTAGGGAAAAGCTCTACTTCATGCAGCAACAGGAGTTTCCGTGGGATGTAGACTCAACTTGCAACAGGCCTGTAATGTACCAAACAGCCCTTCACAGAATTTACATGCCCAATCATTAATAATACTTCATCTACCCTAAAACAGGTGGCTGCCTCTGGAGATTTATTAAGCAAAATGTTTCATGCTATCAGTTTGACATAATTTCAGCTTTAGAAAAGTGTGTCCGAAATATCGCAGACTTTGTAGGCAACAGTTTTATCCCCAAAAGATAATAAATGACAATAATAGATAATAGATAATAAAAGATAATAGATGACATAGTCCAGCAGGACTATGCAGGTTTGCTGTGGAAAGTATTTCTAGAGCTAAAAGTCACTCATAGGTTATATCTCTTTACTTCTGAACAAAGGCAAAGCCAGAGCTATTTAAAAAGCTTAATAATGTTACTGTGAAATGAATAAATTAAGAAAAACCTCAAAAGAATAATTGCTTCATCATTACAAAAGAAAATATTTCTAACATCGAGGTTTCAAGCATTAGAAGTTATATCATATTTCAACTCCCCAGATTTTTCACACTACATCTTAAATATAAATATAATTTTACCTTTTTGAAACTTCCTGAGCTTTGCTTTTCTCTATTATGATTATTGCATGTCTGAAATTTTAGTGAAAGACTGATGATTATATTTATTATTGTAATTTGAGTTTTTTAATTGTCAGCTTATAAGCACTTTATTTTTATTTATTTTTTATTGTAGTTGACATGCAATGTTGTATCAGTTTCAGGTATACAACATGGTAGTTTCAATAGCCTGAAATATATTTTAAAAAAATTCTATAGAGAATTTTGTCATCTTGCAATAAAAATAGTTTTATTTTTCAATATTCTGTTTTAATTATCTCATTAGGATCAGTATAACCCTCTTTAAAAAGCATTAAAAAATGATAGCACATTTTGGACATAGTGTCCAATGTTTTTGAACCTGTCCTATACTAGGCACTTTCAAACCAAAGAAATTGTAACTCAGTTTGGATATGGAGTTTTGATAAAGTCTTTATTTAGAGAATTAGACAGCTAACATTTTTATTTCTTAGTACTTGCGTATTTCATACAAATTATGTAAATTCATTGATTTATTTATTTGGTAAAGATTTATTGTGGCCATTTTCAGCCAGGTAACCATGGCAGAAGCTATAAGTTAGCATAGAAAATTTTGAGGAATTTCATGATGGAATCACATGTGAAGTTATATTGTTTACATAAGGATAAACTTTAGGGAATTGAAAACAGAAGGTTTTAGCAAGACAAAAAAAAAATCACTTTCAAAAATCAACTGTGAAATCAATGTGCCAAGTTATTGCTTTCTGAGAGTATCAGTTATAATTAGTTGAATATACAATGCAGGATTAAGATTTCACGCTTTTTCTGATACAATAGCAGTTTCTGTATTTTATTACTAACCATGCAAAACCCCAAATTCAGCAACAACTTAATAAAATAAAGGACGGATATGGGGTGCCTGGGTGGCTCAGTCAGTTAAGCGTCCAAATCTTTATTTTGGCTCAGGTCATGATCTCACGGTTCATGAGATTGAGCCCCATGACAGGCTCCACACTGACAGCATGGAGCCTGCTTGGGATTCTCTCTCTCTCTCTCTCTCTCTCTCCTTCTCTCTCCCTCTCTGTCTCTGTCTCTCTCTGCTCCTCCCCTGCTCTCTCTCTCTCTCAAAATAAATAAATAAATTTTAAAAATAAAATAAAATAAAGGATAACCAATGACATTTTCTTATACCTCAATTTCTTCCTTTTTTAGAATTAATTTTTATCATTTTTCTAATTGCTCAACCAATTTATTAGTAATAAATTTAGTTGAATGTATTCAACTTATTTACTAGTTGAGCAATTAATAAATTACATGACATTTAAGGTTTTTTATTCAGCTAGATTTAATTAACATACTGAAAGCTACTTTCTTTGCATCAAACTGAAAATACTTCCTTAAAATTTTAAAAGGTGCAATGATTTATCTTCTTTTAAAAATTTTTTTTAATGTTTATTTATTTTTGAGAGATGGGGGGAGAAAGAGAGAGGGGGGGAGGGGCAGAGAGAGAGAAAGACACAGAATCTGAAGAGGCTCCAGGCTCTGAGCTGTCAGCACAGAGCCCGATGCGGGGCTTGAACTCGCAAGCCATGAGATCATGACCTGGGCCAAAGTCGGACACTTAACCGACTGAGCCACCCAAGGACCCCCAATGATTTATCTTCTAAGCAAAAATCATATTTATTATATTACATAGTAAATACTAATTGAATGATGATTTAATTTATTTATTTACTTACACAGGTTTCATTGGTCAGTTTAACAGCAAATGCCTTGGGTTATTCAGAACTTGGTGCCATCAAATCTCTCAGGACACTAAGAGCTCTGAGACCTCTAAGAGCCTTATCACGATTTGAAGGGATGAGGGTAAGGAAAAATGAAGGAACCTGAAGTATTACATGTAGTCAAAATTAAATTAAACTACATTAAATCAAATTTTATAAAAGGAAAACCCATGCATGCAAAAGGAATGGCAAATCCTTGCAAAAGTGCTACTTTATCATTTAATCTGTTGCATATTTACTTCTGGGTGATATGCAAGAGAATTTAGGCCTCCCTTGAAATGATACAATATCATTTATCTGCTGTGCTTATTAAAATGACTTTATTTCCTAATCTATTTTGGGAGTTTCCTTACAAACCTATATACAAAAAAAGCAGCTGAACTATTAAAGTTCTAGGTGTAATGATATGATAATAATCAACTGAAGTGAATTCTACATTACGTGCTTCTCATTTGTGATGAACTAAATTGTACTTAACAAGTTTTATTGAAAATAATTGAATCACACATGTGCCTACGTATGAATAAAGGAAAAAAATTTTTAAATGTCAATTTTGTCTGTATAATGCCAAAGTGTGCATTATTTGAATATAGTCAAGGGTGGATACTAAATATTGGCTGAATTTTAAACTTTTAAAAAATTTATGTTTAATATGGCCTCAATTTATAAATGCATTAATAATTTTAATTTATATAAATAGTAATAGTAGCTTAAAGATTGTATGTAAATCCACACAATTTTTCAAAACTAAAACATTTATAACATAATGGACAGAAAATATCATTTTTATTCATTACTATAGATGATTCATAAATTAAGCATAACTCAAATTTCACTTGAGTCACACAAAATGTTATACTACTCCTTTTAAGGAAGGAGTTCAATTCAACCATTCCCAATGATTCATAACAGGTTAAAAATGTTGCCATTATTGACATACTATTTTCCATACCTTTTTAAAATTCATGAAGCATTGATGTATAAGATGCAAAACATAAAAAAAAAGTTCCTTCTTTAAAAAAATCAAATATTCTTTTACCAAAACAAAGCTACTGAATTAAGTGTGATTCAAAAACAAAACAAAACAAAACAAAACAAAAAACATTGCTTTTTTTTTTCTGCCTAAGGTTTAGTTGTTTATGGAAACTAAGCTTTACTGAAGACTTCCATCTACATTTTCTAGGTTTGTTGATGGCCTTCTGTGTTCTTTTAAAATAGAATTTATTGTAAATGTCACCTTTTAAGAACGTGAGACTTGTCTTTAATTTCCCTAACATATATAAAAAGTTTTTTTTCCTCATTAGAAACAATTTAACACAATATAATGCAGTCTTATTTTATTTCTCACAGAGATCTTCACATATTTACTAAAATGTAAAAGGAAATTCTCCCCAGGGTATGTAAACATTAAGTTTATTTTCCACTTAAAATGTCACTTTCTTTTGTTTCAGACTGGCAGTTTCAGTTCTTGAGAAAAGTATTATTTTTATACATTCTAATTGAAATCATATTGCCTGAATCAAAGTAATATCTTTTGAAAGTCTTCCGAAATCTGAACAATGATAAGTATTTGAAGCTGTTATAAACAATCCAAATTTAACTTTTTTAAAATGTATTAAATCCATGATCAAATGGCCAGATGTTCCCATGTTGAACACTTTATTTCCATTAGCAATGTTGGTCCTGTGGGTCTATGTTTGATTTTTACAGAAATAACCTTATCTCTAATTATTGATCAATAATGCTTTTTATATTATAAGGAGAGGTTGACTTTTGCAACTGAGAATTTTAAAAACATAAACTTCTTATTGGTGCTGATAGGAGAGGAACTCAGCATTTAAATTATAGGATTTATGAATGTAATTCCTTGCCTCGTAATGACAGAATATACACAACCCTAAAATGGCTGATCATTTCAACACGTGTTTGGCATTGTAGAGACAAAATAACCCGATTATTAATTCTATTTTTGTGCTTCTGGTGCTTGGATTGTTTTACTTTGTAAAAATGTAAATATGGATAATGGTGAAGATAGAGATAATAATGATGATTATATTTGGGAAGTGATATTTCCCAGTGTGAATACATTCAGAAACTCTCATTTTATTCTTTTCCTTAGCAGCATAAAACCACAATAGCTGTGTCAGAGTATAAATCAAGCACTCATTTTATTTCTGTTGATTTGTCACTTTTTCAAGCATGTGCTTTTATGCAACATTACCAAACAAAGCATGTTGTATAGTGCTTGATAAGAAGTTAGAAAGGAATAAATTATCATCACGTTGCACTTTATGTTTTGCATGCTTTATGCACATTTCTGGCTGACAGCTTTTAAACATTTATTGTATTTCAAATTTCCAGTCCAAATTTTTCAACTTGTAAAATTGAACTGAGTGAATTGATGTCATGAATATCTAGAGTAAAATAAAATTTGTACTTAAATTTGTAATTTTGATTTCCTAATCTAAGAAATCTTAGATACCTTCTTTTTCAAAAGAACTCAAGTCTTGATTAATAGGGAAACAGACAAGAGACCATATCATATACAAAAAGTAACACCAAATGTTCTGTCATATCAGATTTCTAACTAATAACAAACTATATATTTCTATTTTATATAGGATAATCTTGCTCCAACTTGGATGGGGTGGAGCGCTGGTTCCTCCCCTCAGCCCTTTATTATGGGTACTGTATTACCCCTTTTGCTACCTTTCATCCTTTCACTGTGACTTTGTGTAGTGGGATGAGGGAGGGATTGGGAACGGTACTCTCTCACCACAATAGGGAAAAGTACACTATATTCGAATCCCCTATTTTCAATTGCCTTAAGTTTTCTTTTGAGAAAAATACCTTTGTGAATTTACCCTGTGTGGATTTGAACACCAACGGTTCATATCTTTACTGAGTTTCACTGAATATGATTTAGTTATGTGTATATGGAGTTATTCATTTATGGGGAGATTATCTGATTGGTGAGGGTGGGGGACCTGGTTTAGAATGAATGCGTGGAAATTTTAACTTGTCAATTGATGGTGCTGTTTGAGACATAAAACCCTTGCCATTTTTTACATTGATTCTGGGTCCTGAAAACTGCCATCCAGATGCCAGCAGGCAATTCCCTGCCTTGTTGATATGTATGAGCAGATGCTAGGGTTCAATATTCCAGCTTTCATAAGACTGGTGTTGATTGTGTGACCTTTCCGTTTTTATTAAATGAAAGTTTAGGAGAGTTATTTTCAAAATGTAATGAGGCAAAATATATTAAGAGTTGAGTAAGCACATGTGATTTGTGTTATAAATGGAAAAAAAGTTAATATAAAAAAATCCACTTATTCGAACTATACAGACTACAATACCCACCTAGAAACAAAACAGAAATGTCTTATCACGTGTATTAAATAGAATTTAATGTATAAACCCAGTTCTTAGAGTAAGTCACTCCCAAATAACTTTTTAGGATCTTAGAAGATAACATGATGAAAACATAAATAAAAATAAATCTATTGTTTATTCTTAAAGTTTAAAAATAATGTACAAGAAGAAGAGTTTCTATTTTGAGAGAGATCAAGTTGGAGTTTTTGTTTAGATAATTGAAGTATCGCATCTCTCAAAGACAATTATCTTAATTAAACCCCACAACACAAATGTAGTCATTAGCTTTTTAAAATATTCCATTACTCTTCTTTATTCTTAAAGATGTGATTTTACCTCGCCTGCTTTTGATTTTTATTCATGTAGTTTTTGTATTTAGACTAGAGAAGCATTAGAATCCATGAGTAGTATTATTTGAAGCTCAGAGATAATTTGTTCAGACAAGACATTTCTACATGTATCAAAATTCCTAACATTAATTTGCATACTTAATTGTCAATCCTTCATTTTGTGTTGATTTAATAAAAATGCAGATAATGAACTAGATATGGAAAGAGTCTTTATAAGATTGGATTGTGCTAAAATAGAGAAATTCTATTGGTGTCTTACAAAGCATTTGTGAGAAGAAGCAACCTCTAGTATTAAGATAATTCCTTCCTTAGACATCTTCTTTTCTGCATCCTGAAATCTCTATCTGTTCTTCCCAATTTATTCAGGCCATCTTTTCCCAGTACCTTCACCTCATGGGAACCAATTGCTGCAGATCCCTAGAGCCTGAAAAGAATTAATACACCTCCTTCTGTGCTGAACCAAGGAATGGCTTAGGGGTCCTGGAAAAAGGCAATCCTTTCTCTGAACTTTATTGCTTAATTTAATGAAATTTAGATATGATGGACCTTTGTACAGTAAATTGCCCGATACTGTGCCAAATGTTTTCCAATATTTAATGTTTTTATCTTCATAAAAATAAACCTTTCCTCTGGACCAAACGTATGCCAACATTGCAGACCATATCCTGAAAGACACTGCTTCAGAGTCCTTGCTTGCTCTTTCGTGTGATCATGAATTACATGGAGTTCATTTTAACGCAAAACAAATCCCCTGTTGCAAAGTAAACCTCTCAGACTTATTGGCTAACCTACAACTTTTTGTTGTGTCAGGTTCTTTAGTCTCATCTCATAACCAAAACTAACATTAAAGAGTATGTTTTCCTCAATAAATGCTAAGTTAATCTTTACTCCTCTCATTCATTCAATCAACCTTTTTTTTTCCCTATACCCAAAGCACTCTGTTTCCTATATTCAAAGCATTCAAGGCCTTGGAGAAGTATAATATATTTTTGCATCTTAAATTAGAAAAAGGAAAGCCTCTCATCTATCAAGATCACAGGAATGCAAGTAACTCTAATCCAGAGCAATCTGAAACCAGATAAATGGGAGCAACTCCAAGGTGAATCAGTGAGGTAGAATGGAAAGAGAAAGCACTAGGTGCCACTTCTAGTCTACTTTCTGATCATAATCTTTTAGCCTCATTTTCTCATTGCCAACAGAAAACACCATACTAAATTATTTCTATGGTCCTGGCCAGCACTGGAATTCTGATTCTTAAATTCAAAAGAGGAAATGTTGATCTTTATTTTGGAGGCTAATGTGGAGGGTGAACTGGGGCTCCGTGAAAGAAGTGCTACATGAACCAGACCTTGTAGAAGAAAGAATATTCCAGAAAGGGGGATACTTAGCAAGGGATTCCAAAGGCATCTCAGGTGTCTGGTATTGTATTAGTTGGGTTGGGATGAAGGGTAGGCGGCTAGGGAAGTTTAAACTGGAAATGTAGATTGTGGAGTAATTTGAATACCAAGATAAGGAAAATATTTGATCAGTGGGAATCCATTAAATAATTTTCAAGTGAGGCTCAGAGATAATGAATTCATCTTACGTGGATCAAAGGAAGGAGAAAGTTAGAAGACCTTGACAAGAGTGCCAGTATGACTTAATGGAGGCCAGAGCTAGGATGGATGGTGAAAAGAAGTAACAGAGATGAGAAAAGTTTTAAAGGAAGAAGTGTGAGACCTGCAGACTGACATGAAAAGAAATTCAGGAAGTAGATGTCACCAGTATTCTGCCATGCTCTAAATTGGCTATTGTAGGTAAAAATGTGCATTTAAGTGTGTACTCTATGAATATACAATAAAAATAAGGGTTGTTGTTTTTTTTTATCTGGATGGTAGGCAAAATATTCAGAAAAGGAGGAAAATAAGTAACTTGCTTTCAGCTATTAAATTTTGAATACAAGAGAAATCTAAGTGTATCCACATATTTAAAATGAAGTATAAAAGAAGGATTTATTCAATCAACTGTATTACTGCAGACAGGCAAATGAGATATGGTGAGGTGCCATGTTTCAGTTTGGTAGGCTGCATAGGCTATATCACCTGGATCTGCCTGGATAATTCAACCAACTTAAATGTTTATGCTCATTTCCTTACCTTTGCCAATAGTGGTTTTACTGTTTCCTTCGGCCCACTTATCACACTGTTTTGGAACCCCAGACGGCCTAGAGTTCTTTGCAAAGTTTAAACACGGCTCAGAAGCATAAGGAATTGGCTCGTGTATTTGTTTTTTCAGACAGGCAATCAAAAAACATTGTTCTAAAAATACGCTGGCATCAAATGGCAGATGGAAGATATTTTGATGCCTGTTGTTTACATTGGATCAGATTGACAGTAATAATAGAAATCCATAGGCAGAATTAACTTAGCTATCAGTCGTTCAAGTCTGAGGCATCTTCTGTCACTTGTGAGCATTTTAGGGCCTGTCTTTATCTTCCCTCTTAGTGACTCATAATATAGCTCCAATGGGCACTGTGGAGGAGGGAGCGAGGACAGCCATCCCTACAGTGTTGCCAAATACGAAAACTCAGATCTTTTAATCTGTGATCCAAAAATTAAGATAAGAGGGAAAAAAACATGCTCCCATAGAAAAAGAGTAGGTCATTATTTAGCTCAGAATTGTATGTTAATCACTTCACAGTTGGGCACTATGTATGGCACCCCTCCTTTTCTTATTTTCCTAAGAAACCAATTTCTATTATGTTTCATTTAAAATAAGTTTATTGAATTAAACTCAGTAAATGAAACAACTGACATGACTGGAGCTTGAAATAAACGATGTGATGATCTAATGAAATACATAATGCTAAATTGTCTTGCTTCTTATGCAAAAATTATTATTAGTCATAGCAATGCATGAATAATTAAGGACAAAACTATATTAGGCATTTAATAATATTTTTATATTTTTAATTTTTTTAAATATACTGGTCAAATTGACTTGTGTCCAAATATTTTAATTTCATTATTTAATATATAACCTTTTTTAAAATTAATTTATCATCTGTATTAGGATTTCCTGCCTCTCTTTTTTCTAATAAACAACAAATATTCTCAATTCATCTGGCAGCAAATTCCTCTGATTTTTGCCTTTCCTTCAACCTTTTGGTACTTCCCCCTCTCTTTGTTAAACTTTCTTTTTCTTTGTTATATTATCTATATTTGTTTCCCTAAATGTATTGCTTAAGAAAGAATGGATTTCATTTTAAGATTTTTTTACTTTGCTTTTAAGTGTCATAGAATAGTCTCAATACTAAAAAAGAATTTTTTTAAAGAAATACTAAAGATTACTAGGAGAATGTCTTTTAATTTTTAACCAACAAGAATTCTGACTTTTCTTTTTTTCCATTTGTGTATTAGGTGGTTGTGAATGCCCTTTTAGGAGCAATTCCATCCATCATGAATGTGCTTCTGGTTTGTCTTATATTCTGGCTAATTTTCAGCATCATGGGCGTAAATTTGTTTGCTGGCAAATTCTACCACTGTATTAACACCACAACTGGTGACATGTTTGAGATCTCCGAAGTGAATAATCATTCTGATTGCCTAAAACTAATAGAAAGAAATGAGACTGCCCGATGGAAAAATGTGAAAGTAAACTTTGATAATGTAGGATTTGGGTATCTCTCTTTGCTTCAAGTTGTAAGTGAACACTCTTTTCTCTGAAATTTGTTTATTGTTTGGAATAATAAAGTGATAACATACATCTAAGTTACTAAGAAGAGATTTAGCTATTAAGAAGGAAGTTTATAACACACTTTTTTTTTTTTTTCCTAATTTTGATTTGTTAGCACAAGTGTGTTAGCCCAGGTGGGTGGCAACTTCAGCCCATGCAAGCAGTGCAGACATAGTTGATAGAGGCCAGGCAATTCAGTTTTTTCCAAAGGTTTTTTTCTCTTCCCGCCTATATTGCTCTCTTCCCATATGAACAAGTTGATGAATAAATCAATACGTTTGCTTTATTTTTTTCTATTGCAATTAGAAAGCATTTTCCACTGATGGATCACCCTCCCCAAACATACATACTTAACACACCTGATTGGATTATAAGTAATTGGTGGCAATTAACTGCTACTGAGTTGTATGATTTGGCTTGAAGACCAAGGAATGATATTTGAGGTTTTAGGGTTGGATCCTCACAGTGAAATACAAATAATACAGGGTAGTGCCTGAACCCAGAAATGAAATATAAGCAGCTGTGGCTTCACTTCAAATGACATTTCAGAACAATTACTTAAGTCTACTATACATAATAATAGTATCCTTATTGTACTTACTACTTTAAATACGTAAGTATCTGAATATTAATGTTTTTTTACTGCCGGGTCTCCTAAGCCTGATTTGCACAAAAGAAAAACCGTTTGCAATTTATAAAAACACAAAAGATGGTGGCCCTATAAACATCTGCATTTGATGCTGCTTTTGGCAGCAGCTGCATCATGACAAAGCAGTGGAAAAAAACAGAATCCAGATTGTTTAAAAAACATAGTAAGATACTGCTCTATTTTGGCCACTGCAAACTCAGCCTAAGGAATAAAAACAGACTATAAAAGTTCTTTCATTGTTTCTCTACAGAGGCTTTAGCACAGAAATCTATTTCTCTTCACCAGGATCATGTTTTCAATTGCTCAACCAAGAGACTAACCAAGCAAACAAACCTGCGTGGGTCAAAAACCCTTTTACCTCTCTTTCAGAGGTGTCTGTACTATGATTCCTTTATAAGTTCTTCCCACCTTCTTGTTGGAAATTCTTATTTCTCTTCTGGATGTTTCTGACTTACTCTGAATGTTTATGCAATTAAAATAGGGATTTAAAAAAATCTGGAAGTATGATTTCTTTAAATATTGTAGTGGACACATGGTGACATTTTCTTGAGAATTTATCCTAACCCTTAATTAATAACCACACTTGTAAATATCACCAAAGTGTATCACTTCCTCCATAAAATTGAGAAAAGAAAAAAATTTTTGAAGCAGGTCCTTGAAATGATAAATAATTCTGAAAATGTAGGGTAAAGATCTTGCACGCAGCCATTAGATAAATTCTGCCACTAAAGAAACTCTAAAGTACTACTTTATATTTGGCTTTGTACAGAATCACCTCTGTTGATGAGTAACTCATTGAAATGGTTCTATGAATCACTTTTTCTGTTCCTGTACCTAGTGGGTAATGGACTTGTTCCGTCATTGACCTCAGCCACTGACATTCAGTATTTCCCCCTCCGATAGATAGCTTCTATTTTGTAGCTAAGAATCATTACTTTCTTTCCACTGCCATCACACAAACCCTTCCTTGGCTTTCTTCCCATGACATCCACCATTTCACAAGTGTTAGTGTTATGAAAACGAAGATGTGTTGGGATACAGATGCTGAAAGCTTTCTAGACTTGTTCAGTAGCTAAAAACAATCCTCTCAGACTCTCAGGGCTTAAAATTTATGTCCCAGGACAAATAACAAGTTACTATAAGCTACTAGACTTGGGATCCATCTTGAATCTGAGAATGCCAAGTATCTACTGTATTATTTTCTACTTTTACCCATATTAACTCACTTTCATTAAAACTACAGGGAAAAAGGTAGAATATAGGATGATTTCTGGGTGCTATTCTTCAAAATTCTTAAAAGAATAGTTGCAGCTCTGACTTTATACATGTCTGTATGATCCTCAGAGTGTTATGATCAAGAGAAATGTTAAACTTTCACTTTCATCACCTTGCAGTAGATCTAAATGTAATGATTGATTTGTAGATCTAAATTGTAATTGTTTTGCTGTTACAGATATCTCCAAGTGTGTTGGCATTTGTAAAGCTTTCTAAAAGTATTCCACCAAATTTCTATAACACTTTAAATTTGCATTATTCCATTAACTCTAAGGAGTAGAGAAGTATTTGTGAGTTAGTTATCAAGCAGGAGGATATATCAAATAACGATTTTTGTTTGTTGTGTGTTTTAGAAATGAAAAGCCTTACTAAGATAGTGTATTGGTCCAAAATCTATGTAAAACTTGTTTTGAACTGTCTTTCACATTGTTCCTTTTAAAAAATACATAAGTAAGAATATTTATTAAACATTAGGTCTGAATTATTCCAAAGTAAAGCATGCATGTCCTTTTTAATAGGCCACATTTAAGGGATGGATGGATATAATGTATGCAGCAGTTGATTCCAGAAATGTAAGTATTCCTTATCTCCTGCCTTTTTGTAACATTGGTTAGGTTCTAAAATTAATTCAACAGGGCATAGCAGCAAAATGGAATGATTCTATGATGATTGTTTTAAAAAAGGAAAAATTGGCTCAAATTAATATTCAAATATAGCAGAAAGATTTTACTAAAATAAATGAAAACAAATTATTTTGAAAGGTAAATGAATACATTCATACGTTTAATAACTGACAAATATCCCTGTATTAAATATTTTTCTATTTTGCTTTCTTTTTATCTACTAATTATATAATCAGCATATGGGAGCAAATGTGAAAAAATATATGATCAGTATCGGTAGTTGAAATGTATAGTTACTCTTCATAAGTAGTAGACAGTGTGAAAAGTTATGAATGTTGTCCAGGCAGCCTTAGATTTCTGTAACAATCCCTTTTACATTCATTCTTGTATATGATTTCAGCATCTATAAATTTACTGGAGTCTTTGCCAATGATGTTATCACTTCTATGGTTAACATTTCCTTTAAGTTTATATCACCAAAGTAAAGACCTACTTTATTTGGTTTCTCCTACAATAGTCTCTTTCAGGCTTTAAGAAGAGAACTGAAATCCATGCTTATTCCAACTCTGCTCTTCAAAACTTTGTAAAATTTAGTCTGGTCTGTCAGTCCTCATCTTTCCATTCTGAAGTCCAATCTATTGTTTGGCAGTCCAATCTATTGTTTAGTCTATTATCATAAAGTTTAACTTCTCTCTCTGTAATCTTTAATCTGACCTGGTAGGGCTCACTTAACTTTCTTAATGTGCACTTCCATAAGTGGCTTTAGTTTCATGTTGAGTGCTTTCCTGATATCCACCAGAGTTGTGTCATTTCATTTGTTACTTACAATTATGTTTTGGGTGTTTGATGGGTTTTAACTGTGTTATCTTTAGAAGGACATGAATTTATTAGAGAACTATCTATTGTGACTCATTTACCCTTTACTACGTAATATGTGGTAGCTCAATGATAATTTACTGGAAGTTAAATCTAAAGACTGAATCATCAACTGAGGATTCATAAGATGGTGTCCAGTTATGTCTACTAAAATATGTCCTAAAAAATTCAAGGACTATTGTAATGTTAAAGGTATGATGCTGAACTTCTAAATGAATAACTCAGTTCTTGTTTACCAAATAAATTCATGCATACACAAATAGTTGTGTCTAAGCACAGTCTATACATATTTACTAGAATAAAATTTTTCATTAATAATGTTTAAATTATTAAAACTCAGTACCTAAAAATCTTTTACCAAATTTAGCACTCTACTATCCAAATAGCAAGATACTAGTTGTATTTATAGCTATAAAAAATAGATTCTAAAGTGTCATAATAACTATATTTTTTACATGAAAACATCTCTAAAGGCTAATTTCAGAGACTTTTTTTAGAGGCAGCTGATTCAGAGAAAAAAAGAAAAGTACTGCTAAGTATTACTAGGCATTTTCTTTTCTATTCTTGTGAAAATGCACCAACGATTTCTAGCATCAAAATGTATTGCGACATTTTACAAACTATTCTCCTTTGGTAGGTGGAACTCCAGCCTAAGTATGAGGACAGTCTATACATGTATCTTTACTTTGTTATTTTCATCATCTTTGGGTCCTTCTTCACCTTGAATCTGTTTATTGGTGTCATCATAGATAATTTCAACCAGCAAAAAAAGAAGATAAGTATTTCTAATATTTTCTCTTTCACTAAGATAGCAAAATTATTTGAAGCATTCTCTCCACTAAATGAGTACTTTGATTCAGAAGCCAAATAGGCATATATATTAAAATCTATTTTTCATCCGTTCCTTCTACCATCTACAGCCCATTTCCTTCAGGGTATAGAAAGCCAAGAATGACTGGGTTCCATTCCTGTACATAGGTTCACAAAACCTCTCTCTCTCTCTCTCTCTCTCTTTTTTTTTTTTTTTTTTTTTTTAGCCAGGGGCCACATTTTCAGTCCTTTCGAAGAGAATAATTGGAAAAAAAACTAGAAAAGAACACAGCATATGCCCCTTTTCCAAAGTCAACTCATTGTTTTATCCCTGTAATTCCCCTACTTAAAATATTCTTTCCAGTGAAAACCCTTAGAATGCTTGCAATAAATTAGGCAAAAGGTTTGCATAAGCATCTCCTAGTGTTTCTTTTCACATTTTTTCCTTCATTGGGTCTTTTTATAATTTCTATTTCCTTCTCCTTGATATTTAATTATAAAATATTAGTCCCAGTGTTGAATTGAACAGCTCTTTATCTTATTATCGTTTATAAAGCCCATTTTATCATCCTGATTATATATGCACATTATAGAAAGTATGAAAAGTAAAGAAATACCATTACTTGGGAGTAATCACTATTCACACTTTATGTTTTTCTGTTCACACTTTTCAAACATATATTCTTGTTATCAAAATTATTTTATCTATAGTTATAAATTATCTTTTTGAGTTAACATAAGTATTTTGCCATTTTGTTAAGTCTTTGCACGTAGATTATCATAATTTACTTAACTATTTCCCCAAAAATTGATGATTTATGTTGTTTCTAATCTTTAATGATTTAAAGAGTACCTAGTCAAAAGTCTTTGTGCCAAAAAATAAAAAATAAAAATTAGTATTTAATTATTTTCTTGAGACAAATTTCCAAAGTATTTTGCTTCCTCCAAACAATATGCTCGCTCATAGTCTCAATAACAGTGTATGGATGTGCTCAGGTCACTGCTGCTTCACTGGCATCAAACATTCTGTTTTTAATACTTGACATTTGATAAATGAAAATTGCTTTTAATTTCAATTTTTATGTCTATTGTTACTAGTAGATTTGAACATGTTTTCGGTGCTTTTGTCATTTATATTTCTTCCTTGTTGATTATTCCTTCATCTTATTTGTTCAGTATATTTTGTTATTGTATGAGTGCTTCCATTGTATGAGATGTTTTCACTATAGAAAATTCCTGTCCTCACCCCCTTTTATTGTTATTAATATATTCTATGATCAGTGTCAGGTCTTTATATCACTTATTAGCCTGGGTTGCAATCCTCTGTACCTCCTGGCCTGTCACATCCTTGCCATACTAATGATCTCTGATCCCTAACACTTCTACCAACTCGACCAGTTTCCTTTTTATCCTTTTGTTCCAATTCTTGGCTGAGTGAAGGTGGATTATAATAACTTTAACCCATCCTACAATATACATACTCTAATGCATTGCTGCACTGGAATAAGAAAATGATTGTCTTTAACTTCTGAAAAGCAGTCTGTCTAGCATTAGAAACTTATTATTTCATGTTTCAGCAAATCGCATTTTACCACTCACTTATTATATGGTGTTGGGTAAAATACTTAGCCTCTCAGTTGCTTGTTTTCATTCTGCCATAAAATAATACTGAAAGTAATAAAGTCAATGTTGGATGATTGTGAGAATTAAATGATACTGTAGCACCTAAAAAATGCAATTCGTATGTTTCAAATTTAAAATTCTAGGCTTAATTATTTTACCCGTTTCCTTTTTTAACCATCCTTTTCCTGTTTTAAGTTTAACATTGAAAAATTATGCGCAAAGGGGCACAGTTTTCACCAGTTTTTATTTTTCTTTTCTATACTTTGGAGGTCAAGATATCTTTATGACAGAAGAACAGAAGAAATACTATAATGCAATGAAAAAATTGGGATCAAAAAAGCCACAAAAGCCTATACCTCGACCAGGAGTAAGAAATACCAAATGATACGGGAAAAAATAAACAAAGACAAAAAATTGCATGTGTTTTCTTACAGAAGAGATAGAAGCTAACATTTCCAGCAGCAAAGATTTCTTCCATTTTTAGAATATCATTAATTCATACCTTTTATGGTAATGGTAAAAATTACTTAAAAAAAAAAAAGAGACCAGAAAGAAAAAGAAGCAGCAGAAAAATGCATCCTTGTTTTCAGGGGACTTCTAATTACACAACTAGAATCCAACCTAAATGGCGAAGGCACATAAACAATGTGTTATGCACAAGAAAAAGCTGTTCAGAACTCAAAAGTAGTTGCTGAGTCATCTTAAGAAGAGGGATAAAATTTGGATGGGATTAAAAAGCATGCAATTTTCTGCTAGGTTAACAAAGTGATGAAGTGCTGAGTGAAATAACATCTTACTTCCCTTGTATTGTCCGTTAGATGTACTGAGTGGAGAAAAAAAGAATTCTAGTATCTGCTGTTCATATAGATGGCTATATAGTTAGAAGTTACTAATGTCTTCAGCCATCAGGGGCAATAAATACAATTCATGATGATAACTAACAATCCTCATGCTTCCATGATAAACCAACCAAACAACTCCTCTGAAATGGAGAAGCCTTATCCTACACTGTATTGATTTTTGTGATGATGATTTGTGAAGTTAAAATAATTCCTGAGGCACATTAGGGAGCAAAATACTAGTGAACATTCATACTGTGCCATCCAACAGTTGCCTTCTTGAAAATGATGAGAAATACATACTGTTCTCTACTAAACCTTAACCCTGGAAGTAGAAATGGGTCAACTATGTGTAGAAAAAATGTAAGATAGAAGATATCCTCAGAATTCCTCAGCAGCCTAAGGAAATGAGCCAGACAATGGCCTGCAGTGACTAACAGTGGCAGAAATGAGGGGCAGAATGACAGATCAGTGATGGGAACATTAATTTTTGACATCAAAGTATAAAGAAGGTCATTATGGTCTGATTATTCCTGTCTAGGGTCAGCATTCTATGTCTGACAGTCAACAAAGACTTTTGGTGGAAGAACATCAATATCGCCATTCATAGGTTTTAAATGCATAATGTTATAGACGTGTCCTGGAAATCCCAAGTTCTCTTTAGCAATTCTTTGAGAATAAGACAAATGGAATGTTGCTAGATACTATATTTTGAGATGCCTGCATGGTCCAACTGATCATGGGATATTCTAGTAAAATAAAATTAGGCAGGTTTCTTTATTTCTCATAATCTTAATATGTTAATATACATTTGTGCCTCTGGGTGAAGAGTATAGTATGCAATGTTTCTTATCAGAAGTACCCTTTTGACAGGGATCATTATTCTGCGGAATACCCATTGGTAAATAGAAGTTTAGGTTATTAAATTTTTAAAATTAATGTGTTACAAGCCATCTTTTACACCATTCAGAGTCAGTGGTTACTATGTATAATATTAGAAAGTTAACCAATGCAGAAAGTACTTAGGCAGATGCTAATATGTACAGGAAAACTCCTATGTTGCTAAAAAGCTTTCCTGTTTCCCTACAGAACAAATTTCAAGGAATGGTCTTTGACTTTGTAACTAGACAAGTCTTTGACATCAGCATCATGATTCTTATCTGTCTCAACATGGTCACAATGATGGTAGAAACAGATGACCAGAGTGAATATGTGACAAACATTCTGTCGCGCATCAACCTGGTGTTCATTGTGCTGTTCACTGGAGAATGTGTGCTGAAGCTCATCTCCCTCCGCCATTATTATTTTACCATAGGCTGGAATATTTTTGATTTTGTGGTCGTCATTCTCTCCATTGTAGGTAAGAAGTATTTAACATCTCTTCAATTCTGTTCAATAAAAGTAAAAGTTGTAACATTTGCTTTACATTAGAGGTCATCCCACCACTCAGAAATCACTACTCTGAAATTTTCTATATGTTTCATCCAGGTGTGCTTGTTTTTCTTACAAAATGAGTCTCCTGCTGTATGTACAATATTGTATCCTATGTTCACCATTTTAGATTAGGTATATTATTTGTGGATCTAGTATGTTCCCATTAATTTGAACTAGGAATATGCTATTAACTAAGATCAAAAATGTTTTTGACATGTTTAGATTAAGTAGCCTATATAATATCTAGATGATTCTGTTGAGAAGAGAACTAAAAATTTAGTCTGGTCCTAAGGAAAGATACTGCATTGGAGATATAGACACAGAGTCATCAGCATGTAGACAGGAGTGGAAGCTGGTGTGAAGATAAAGAAAGGCATAGAGTGAAAAAAAAAAATAAAGATAAGAACAGAATGTTAGCAAATAGAGATGGAAGTTTCTTTAAGGGTATCAGGTAGAGATTTTCTAGATAACCTTGAAATGGAGTTATAGTAATGATGCACAAGGGGATGCGAGGTGGTATGGGACATCATTTTATCATTATATACTTAAAAGTCTGGAATGTACAACACATCACATCAGTAACAGCTCATCTCATTAAAGATACAACTCTAGCTCCAGGGAAGTGGAGAAGTGTATCTGTGGGCCTAAAGTATTCATTCTTTCCTAAACCAGATAATATGATTGGGTCAACATTTTATCATTCAATATGGGGCACCTCTGATGGGTAGATTTTCATGCCATTACCTCCTCTTAAGGAGTTGGTTTTATATCCAACTTGTATATTGCAGGTATCCTTTGATTTCTAAAGTAATCTATGGTGCAATCAGTTGTGGATAGGGTACTAAGGTTATATTCACCTCTCTCTATCTCACTCTCTCTTTATCATCCTTTTTCTCTCCCTCTCTCACACACCCACACACACTTAGACTAACACTTTTCTAGAATGAGACAGTGTAACTTGAAAGACCTTGGTTTTCTGAACCAATCAGGAAATTAGTTCAATTGTTACTTCATTATCTAAAAAGCAAATAGAGAAAAAATCTTAAAAGAAGTGGCTGAGAGACCAACGTTAGACGCAGGAGACCAGAAAGGGCACCAGCTTGGATCCTTTTAGAAATGTAGCAGCACATATATATAATATGTAAAAATATTATAGTGGAAGCTCAGGCAAGTACCAAGTTCATGGAGAAATGAAAATAGTATTAAAAACGGTAGTTACTTTTAGATGGGTTAGGACTGAATAGGCAATTTCAGAAAAAAAAATTGTATTCATATAAATATGTACTTATATCCTTGGCCACTGCTGTTCAGACAGACTTGGTAATTTTTAACTTATTTTTTTTATATTTAGTCTTGAGATTTTATGTAAGCTAAAGATAGTCTTTAGACATCCCTCAAAGACAAAAGTACCGTAAAATTATTTCTGAACATTGTCTTAACTTGGACTGACATAACAACTTACCACACACTGAGTGGCTTAACCAACAGAAATTTATTTTCTCATAGTTCTAGAGGATAGAAGTCCAAGAACAAGCTGCCAGCATAGTGGATTTCTGGTGAGGGCTCTCTTCCTGTCTGGTGGATGACTACCTTCTTGTATGTCCTCATAGGGCAGAGAGAGAGGAGATAGTTCTCTAGTGTTTCTTCTTACAAGGGTACTAATCCTATCATGAGAGCCCCACCCTATGACCTCATCTAAACGTAATTATCCCCTCAAAACTGTCTCCAAATACTATGCATTGGAGAGTTAGAGTTTTAAAACGTGAATGGGGGGTAGTGAGGAGGGAGGACACAATTGAGTCTATAACAAATATTGAGTTGAATTTAATACTGAATGTCAAAATTAAAGTTCATTAATAATATATATTATATACAGTTATATGTATATTATATGTATGTCAAATTTAAGATTATGCAACTGAATTTCAGGATTCTGAACTTTACCTTAGAGCCTTAACAAAATTTTGATTATTATCTTCTTAGTGGATAACTTCAATGGTTGGTATTCTCATTTTTTATCCACAGGCATGTTTCTGGCCGAGCTGATAGAAAAATACTTCGTGTCCCCTACCCTGTTCCGAGTGATCCGTCTCGCCAGGATTGGTCGAATCTTGCGTCTGATCAAAGGGGCGAAGGGGATCCGCACGCTGCTCTTTGCTCTGATGATGTCCCTTCCCGCCTTGTTTAACATTGGCCTCCTGCTCTTCCTGGTCATGTTCATCTACGCCATCTTTGGAATGTCCAACTTTGCGTATGTTAAGAGGGAAGTTGGAATTGATGACATGTTCAACTTTGAGACCTTTGGCAACAGCATGATCTGCCTGTTCCAAATTACCACCTCTGCTGGCTGGGATGGATTGCTAGCACCTATTCTCAACAGTAAACCACCTGACTGTGATCCTAATAAAGTTAACCCTGGAAGCTCTGTTAAGGGAGACTGTGGGAACCCATCTGTGGGGATTTTCTTTTTTGTCAGTTACATCATCATATCGTTTCTAGTTGTGGTGAACATGTACATCGCTGTCATCCTGGAGAACTTCAGTGTCGCTACTGAGGAAAGCGCAGAGCCCCTGAGTGAGGATGACTTTGAGATGTTTTATGAGGTTTGGGAGAAGTTTGATCCTGATGCCACCCAGTTCATGGAATTTGAAAAACTATCTCAGTTTGCAGCTGCTCTTGAACCCCCTCTCAATTTGCCGCAACCGAACAAACTCCAGCTCATTGCCATGGACCTGCCCATGGTCAGTGGGGACCGGATCCACTGTCTTGACATCTTATTTGCTTTTACAAAGCGGGTTCTGGGAGAGAGTGGAGAGATGGATGCCCTTCGAATACAGATGGAGGAGCGATTCATGGCTTCTAATCCATCAAAGGTCTCTTATCAGCCAATAACTACGACTTTAAAAAGGAAACAAGAGGAGGTGTCTGCTGTAATTATTCAGCGTGCTTACAGGCGCCACCTTTTAAAGCGAACTGTAAAACAAGCTTCATTTACCTATAATAAAAATAAAATCAAAGGTGGGGCTAACCTTCTTGTAAAAGAAGACATGATAATTGACAGAATAAATGAAAACTCTATTACAGAGAAAACTGATCTGACCATGTCCACAGCAGCTTGTCCACCTTCCTACGATCGGGTAACAAAGCCAATCGTGGAAAAGCATGAGCAAGAAGGCAAAGATGAAAAAGCCAAAGGGAAGTAAATGAAAATAAATAAGAATAATTGGGTGACAATTGTTTACAGCCTGTGAAGGTGATGTATTTTTGTCAACAGGACTCCTTTAGGAGGTCAATGCCAAACTGACTGTTTTTACACAAATCTACTTAAGGTCAGTGCCTACCATAAGACAGTGACCCCTTGTCAGAAAACTGTGACTCTGTGTAAAGGGGAGACGACCTTGACAGGAGGTTACTGCTCTCACTACCAGCTGACACTGCTGAAGACAAGAGACAAAATGGCTACTCAGACTGTAGGGACCAGTTCAAAGGGGTGCAAACCTATAATTTGGGGGTTGTTTAACATGAAACACTTTAGTGTAGTAATTGTATCCACTCTTTGCATTTCAACTGCCACATTTGTCACATTTTTACAAAATCTGTTAGGGGATTCATCTTTTTTTTAATCCATATGTTGTTTATTATATGTGACTATTTTTGTAAATGGGGTTTCTGTTGTGAAATAGACAAAGGGTCTCTTCAACAGGTATGCCACCGGGGGTTATCACAATCACACGGCCTCCCATCTGCACAAAGGTGTGGTTTGCATGAGGGCATGCTGCACTTAGAGATCATGCATGAAAAAAAAAAAAAGTCACAAGGAAAACCATGAGTTCTTAAATTCCATCCATCTTCCTGGGAGGGGTAATTGGGTGATAACTGGAGGTGCTTTGTTGATCTTGTTTCATCAAATCCAGCCACCAGACCAAGTGGATCATTTTGGGCGGGGGGAGGGGGTAGGCCATTAAATCTTAGCAGGTGCAAACTTCATTCAAATGTCTGGAGTCATAAATGTTGTGTTTCTGTTTATCGTATTAAAAAAAAAAAAACAAAACTGAAAAATGAGCATTGCTTCTCCCCGAAGACTGAATTGACCAAAAGAACCCTTTATAAATTTCTGCTTAATCCTGCACTTCGTTTAGCCATCTTCAGCTCAGCAGGTTGACAACTGTATATGTTAATGAAACGCTATTTATTATGTAAATAGTCATTTTACCCTGTGGTGCACGTTTGGGCAAACAAATAATGACCTAAGCACAGTATTTATTGCATCAAATATGTACCACAAGAAATGTAGAGTGCAAGCTTTACACAGGTAATATAATGTATTCTGTACCATTATAGATAGTTTGGATGCTATCAATGCATGTTTATATTACCATGCTGCTGTATCTGGTTTCTCCCACTGCTCAGAATCTCATTTATGAGAAACCATATGTCAGTGGTAAAGTCAAGGAAATTGTTCAACAGATCTCATTTCTTTAAGTCATTAAGCAATAGTTTGCAGCACTTTAACAGCTCTTTGGTTATTTTTAAATTTTAAGTGGATAACATATGATGTATAGCCAGACTGTACAGACATGTTTAAAAAACAAACACTGCTTAACCTGTTAAAAATGTGTTTAGAATTTTATAAGCAAATATAAATACTGTAAAAAGTCATTTTATTTTATTTTTCAGCATTATGTACATAAATATGAAGAGGAAATTATCTTCGGGTTGATATCACAATCACTTTTCTTACTTTCTGTCCATAGTACTTTTTCATGGAAGACATTTGCTAAACAAGAAATGAAAACAAGACTGGGTAGTTGTAGACTTCTGCTTTTTTATTAAATTTGCTAATTTTAGATTATTTCATAATTTTAAGGGGCAAAATAGGTTCACAAGCCACGTCCAAATTATGCTCTGCAATTGGAAAAGGGTATAACATTTTAGTTATATTTTTGGTAGTGCCTGCACAAACTGATTGAAGGTAGTGCTTATTTTTCATTTTTGTCCTTTTTTTTTCTAATTTCTGTTTATGTTTTCATTTCTTTGGAGTCATCCTGCTCTAGATTGCTCTAAATATAATGCAGGTTCCACATATTTTTTTCCACAAGAACAGAGAGTAGTGAACTTATACAGTCAATTACATCAGGATATTTTGTGTTTCTTACAGAAGCAAACCATAGGCTCCTCTTTTTCTTAAAATTACTTAGATAAACTGTATTCGTGAACTGCATGCTGGAAAATGCTACTATTACCCTAAATGATGCTAACCAACATTAAAAATGTGCAAAACTAATAAAGGTTACATTTTTTATTTTATTGTTTGCCTAGTTACTTTTTGTTAACAGCATTTTATAAGAAAATGAAGATATTTCATTCTACAAATTGGGGGAGAAAGGGAAAGACACAAACACATAGTGAGTCTACCTGAGCTGACAGAAACCCCGGGGTAGAAATGGGACTGGGAGGAATGACCTCCCAAGGGCTACAAGCAGTAGGAAGTGACTTCCGCTAGAAGGAACTCATGTCAGAGCATAAGCTGGTAGCTTTCACTGGAAAAAAAGTATGGGAGCCAGAGCCATGGTAGATGGCCTCTTGAGATACGAAAAGAAGCCCTCAAATCTGTATTTAAAAAATTAAAAGTTGCTATGTGTGAGTAGGATATTTTGTTTGCTCCTCTAGAACCACTCTCCAGGCTTCTCCTCCTGCTCTGTGGAAGGGTGATTTTCTACATTGCTCTCTTACTCTTTGGCTCCCAACTGGTCTGGCTAATGGAAAGTCCCAGCAGGAAAGTACCATCAAGGAAAGCACCAGTGGGAGAGAGCTAACTTGGGTATTTATTCCCCAGTTTCTTCTTTGCTGAGTTGCTCTGGGTTGGCAGTGGTGCATTTATCAACATAAAGTTATACTTTTGGTCAGACAATCCCATCCTACAACAAAAACTACTTGGGGTTCTGGTCTTCACTCCCCTACTTGTTCTCTTAGACCTGTGGCTGGACTTCTCTATTCCTTGTAGCTCTCCCCTAATCTTGCTGATGCCTTTTCAAATGGCCCCTTCATGACAACATTCTCTGTTTCACCTATCTCCTGTCCTGTCGACACAGTAATTAAATAGCTTGTGAAATGGGTCAAAAGGCAAAGATCTGCTTTAGGTCAGCTTGGAGACTCAATCTAACTGGCTATACATAAAAGACCAGGAACTGGAGAAACTCCACTGAAGTCAACCAAAGAATTCAATTCATAGAAATCATAGAAAGGTTACTACAGTGGTCTGGACAGTAAGATTGACAGTCTAAAAACCTTAGCTAAATTTATAAGGAAAGAGAAGCCCTCACCTGTCATCAGGTAGTACAATCTCAGTTATGAAGCTAGAAGGGGGAACATGGCCTTGATGGGAAAAGGAGCAGTCATGCACTACTTTTCTTATCCTTCTACACTCATAACATCACTTTAAAACAACACGACAATAAATACCGATTTATTAGTGGCTGAAAAGTACTTCCCATTTCCAACCAACATAAATAAGGATTATAGGAAAATCTCTACAGATTTTTTTATACTCCACATCCACACCAGTAGTTACTGGTACTTTTCCAAATACAAAAAGAACTAGTGAAACAGAATCATAAATTACCATAGTCATGTTGGTATTATTTTACATAATACTTGTGGTGCCAAAAAGTAATATAATGCTCAAGGAATGTTGAATCACATCAGTGGGACAAAGACAGTGGCTTGAAAGAGGTTCCCATTGGTCAAAACTGGGGGAATTTGAGAATCAGAAAAGATAACGATAGTAGTAGATTACAACCTATTTAATAAAATAAGAATTCATAAGTATATACTGATATAAATAAATGGACAAAAGCAAAAACCTCTTCCTTATTGTGAATTTTAACTAACAAGTGTAGAAGAAATATACAGTTAGAAAAGCACCATTTGGCAACCTTGAGAATGACAATTGATTCATGCAAAAATAATGAATGCTAAACTCATGAATGAAAGTTTGATGAGGAATAAGAAATTTACATTGTCTCAACGTATCTCTTTCGCATTAATTAAAAAATTTTTAAGGAGAGTTTATAGTGGAAAAATCTAGCAGGTACTACCTTCAAAGATATCATCAATTATACTGCCAACTACACTGAAAAAGACACATGATTTCTTGGTATCCAGTCAAAGCTGCATTACACGAACTTAACCATAAGGAAAATCAGATTGAGGACATTCTATAAAATAATGTTAATTTCATGAAAAACAAAGGAAGGTCAGAAACTGCCTGAGGTTGAAGAGCTATGAAAACTAATGATTCTGGATTGGATACTAGACTGGCAAAATAACATCAATTACAGATATTGTTGAGAAAACTAAGTTTGAATATGGACTGTTGATTCATTATTAGTATTATGAAAATTGATTTTTCTAACTGTATTAAGTCTAATGCAGCTATTATAACTATAGGTCATATCTTTCTTCTTGGAAAATGCATACTTTTTAGGGGTGAATGGGATGATGTCTGCAATTCACTCTCAAAAGAAAATGTGTTCAAAGGAAAATGTATTATGTGTATGTGTGTATATTTAAAAGATAGATATAGTAATAGATGTGGTATATCTTTGGGGGAGGGAAGAGTTTTTTGTTCCTGTTGTGTTATGTGTTATTGAAGTGTGTATGTATGTGTGTTAACCCTATTTTCTACCCTCAATATTAGATATACTATCTCCAATTATTTCAAAGAATGCTTTATTTTAACTACAATTCTTTTTTTCCTGGAAGTCATATTTCTAAAATTACTTAAATGATTACATTCTTTGACTTTTATGATAATCCTTACATTGCTAAAAAAAAAAAAAAAAGACAACTTTAAAATAAAGATGTGACATAGCGGTTAAGACATCTGTTTGAAACTAGACAGACATAATTGAAGCTTTGTAATCTAAATGCTGGTAATTCTATCCATATCATACAAGAAGGTAGTTTATTGGCTTTCTGAACTGGGGCCCAGACATTCTAAGTATAAACCAATAACCCAAACACAGTTCCACAGACCAGCACCCCCATGACAAGGTTTTCATATGCCTACACTTAAGCCAGAAAATTAACAATAATGTTATAAATATTTATAAAATTTAATGTATTCAATTTAAAAATTTAATTGTAAAATTGTGTCTCATACTTTTTTTGAAGACTAAAATCATCTTTATGTTAAAATGCT